AGCCACCTTATTGGGTGCGTGGTAGTATGGTTTTGTTTTGCCCTGCCTTAATGACTAATGACGTTTAGCATCTTTTCATGAGTTTATTGCCCATTTATGTATCTTCTTTAAAGAGATTGGGGTTAGCTGTGATCCCAGCACTCAGGAGGCTGATGCAGTTTGATCATTGCAAATTTGAGGCCATCTGGGCTACATAGTAAGTTCAAGGCTATCCTGAACTGCTTAGTGAGACCCAGTCTCGAAAGAAAGAAAGAAAGAAAGGAAGGAAGGAAGGAAGGAAGGAAGGAAGGAAGGAAGGAAGGAAGGAAAGATGGATGGATGGATGATGGTGCTGGGTGCAGCGGTACATATCTGTAATCTCAGTCTGGAGGTGAGGCAAGAGACTGCAGTGAGTTCAAGGCCAGCCGAGGCTACATAGTGAGGTCTTATCTGTGACAGAATGAAACAAAACAAAACAAAACAAGAAATTGTGGTTGGAAATTTAGCAGCATTTGCCTAGCAAGCACAAGTCCTGGGTTTGGTCTTGAGCACAAAAAGAAAGAATGAGGGCCTGGAATATAGCTCTGTGGTGCAGTGCACAACTAGCAAGCATGAGGTCCCCGAGTTCGATTCCTGGTACAAAAAAGGGGGCAAGAGAAGAAAGAAGGAAATGTCTATTTATGTTCTTTATTTTTTAGTTTTTTGTTTGTTTGTTAATGAAATATTAGAGATTTTTATACTGTATGGCAAAGCATCAATTTCTTTTGATTTTCCAATATTTTCTTCCAGTCTTTGCATTGTCTTCTCTCCCTTTGTTTTGTTATGGGTGGGGATGATTTAAACTCTCAAGATGGGCTCTCACTGTGCATTCCAGGCTGCCCTTGAACTTTCTCTGTATCCCAGGTTAGCTTCCAATTTAAGATCCTACTGGATTCTAGGATTATAGACATATACATTTCCATGCCCACCTTCTTTCTTGTTTCTGTTCTTGTAGGGTTTTGTTTGGTTGTTTTTTTGTTGTTGTCTTTTTGAGACATGGTCTCCTTAGGTAGTTCAGGCTGGCCTTGAACTTAACTTTGTAGCCCACACTGGCCTTAGCTCACACATCAGTCTGTCTGCCTCAGCCTCTTGAGTGCCCTGGTTATTACAGGTTTTTGAGATAAGGTTTGACTATGTAGTTCAGACTGGTCATGAACTCAGCATGTAGCCCAGGCTGGCCTCAAGCTCTTGGTGATCCTCCTGTCTCAGCCTTTTGAGTGCTTGTGTTACAGGTGTGCACCACTCCACCTAGCTCCAGTTTCTTTTTCTTTATAGTGTGCTTTGATGTGCAAAAGTACTTAATTATGATGACATTCAATTTATCTGTTTTTTCTTTATTATTAGTACTTTTGGTGTCGTAGTTAAGAACTTAATTCCAAATCCAAGGACATGAATATTTTCCCTACTTTCTTTAAAATGAACATTTTGGATCATAAATTTAAATCTGTGACTCACTATGAATTTATTTTTATTTTTTTAAATGTATTTAGTACAGGGTCTGCAGGGTCTCACTACACGAATTGGACTCATGGCGATCCTCCTGTTTTCAGCCTCCCAGGTGCTGGGATTACAGGGATGTGCTATCATGCCCAGTCTCAATCACCCAGGGCGGGGCCGCATGGCATGGGAATCAGACTCCACCCCTGCACCTGCCTAAGTAGACACTTTAGTCTGCTGAGCTATCTGGCCAGCCCTATGAATTAATTTTAAGTGTTGACTTACTGATGTAAGTTTAAGGTTCAACTTCATCCTTCTACATGTGAATACTCAATGTGCACTGTGCTATTTATTGAAACATTATGCTTTTCCACTGAGCAGTCTTGGCGTCCTTGTTAGAGAACAGTTGACCACATATGTAAGGTTTATGTTTATGCGGTGTTCCATTTGCCTGTGTATCTATCTGTTCAGGCCATCTAATCCTAGAACACAGAGTATCTTTACTTAATTTTTTTTTCTTTCTTTGGTCTTTTTATGCATTTAGTACAGGATCTGCAGGGTCTACAGGGTCTCAGTACGTAGATCGGACTTGTTATTTATTTTTATTTATTTTTTTATTTGGTGGAACCGGGGATTGAACTCAGGCCCTTGCGCTTGCCAGGGAAGCGCTTATTCCTCTGAGCCATCTCCCCGGCCCATTGTTATTTATTTTTAAGCTTTGCTTAGTTTAGGTAGTTAATTTCTTTCTCAATGTTTTGTATAGTTAACATGTTTTTCCTCCTAAATTTATTCCCAAGTATTACATTTCATTAGCTGAGTAGCCACCACAAAAATAATAGGTGCCATTAGCTAGGTACTATCCTAGGGATTTTTCACATTTAGTCTCTAAACCTTAAAACAGTCTTTCCCATCTTGTGGATGAGAAAATTGAGACTCAGAGAAATGCAATGCTATATTAAAGTTTACAGCAATTGAGAGAATCATTCTTTCTGGGGTTTCTTTTTGCTCTAGTATTCATAGATCCTTCTGCTGTGCCACCCTAGCCTCTTTGTCTCACCCGTCATACTCTCGCTGCAGGATGACATGAACCTGGTGATCCGGAAGCAGCTATCAAGCACCATAGTCAAGTACAAACTCATTGGGATCATTGGTGCGGTTACCATGGCAGGCATCGTGGCTGCAGACAGGTAAGTGTAGAGACTCTTAACTGCTGTGACTGAGGATCAGTTAATGAAAATAAAATGTTACATTATAAAGCATTGTTTCAACAGATTGTAAATATGTAAGAGAAACAAATGGCTCATGCTAACTTTTCTATATTCCCTTCCAATCTGAACTTTGTGTACCTTATATAATTTTTGTGGAGTTGTGATCATAGCCGTGATAGTATAATTGTTAAAAAGTAAGAGTTGCGAAGGGTCCTTTCTTGGTGCCAGCGTGTGCTGGACCGTGTAGCTTCCTGCCCTGGAATTGCAGTCGGCTGCTTCATGAGTTTCTGTCATTTTTTGGCAAAAATGACAA